GGGGGAGGGGGGAGGGGGTCTAGAGAGGACAGACAGGAGTGTGGAAGCACAAATGAACTGTCCATACTGCTGACTACCGCAGAAAGCAAGATACAAGACAAGCATTGATCAATCACACGTGTTCACATTCATTTACAAACGAAAAGCGATAAAATCTCGGTTGTACATTGGGCTCCAGAGGACATAACGTTGATAATTTCTTGTCAGAAAATCGTTTGCAAGGAATGCCGACCCACCATGTTTATTTATTATGGGCCAGCAATACATATTCATAAAGAAACCACTTTAAAGGCGCCTTCTGGAACAAGTGAATATCATTGAATTCGTAATATCAAACTAGGTAATTATGCAGGATTTACCCACACATGTTCTATTTTCCATTGATAGTAATTAACAAAACCATTCCAAAAAACATTATTCCTTCACTAGTTGCAAAATTGTGACTGATGAGGAGGAAGTTTTAGTTGCCGAACATTTAGTCATGAATGCATGCGATTGAATCAGCCACAATTGAAGGCCCTGTAGCCTGCTGTTAACTTCTGGGAAGATATAAAAGCGTAAAATCTTTTTCACTGGAAGTCTTAGGGAGTCAAATTGGGATTCCAGATGGTTGAAGTAAAAAACAGAAATCTCAAAAGGCGTCACATGGGTTAACGATTTTGGAATCTGGAGGGCATGGGGGAGTAGAGCATTTTGGAATGTCTGAAGGCAAGGGGGAGTTAGTATGTTCATGGTGCCCGAGGTAGAGTACGGACATTTTCTGGAAACGCCGAGTGTCAATTCAAGTTTTTTTTTAGGTCCTTAGAAATGGGGTTCCTTGATTCTGAGCTCAAATCTCGCTTTCTGAGGAGATGGTAATAGAATGAAAAATAGATATTAAGTTTAACTTAATAGTTGTTGAATACATGTTGCAAACATTTGGACTGTTTCAATTGTCTCCCTTTGTAATGGAGGTTTCAAAAGAGCAATTTCTAATAGTTACTGCCAAATTCAGAAAACCGTAAACACCTAAAAGAGATACGTTTCCATCAGTCATGGAACAAATTTGTTTTGTTTCAAAAGGTCTCAACGAAAATAAATCCTCTATTTTGGTTATACAAAAAAAAAAGAGATAGCTGCTGTTACAGGCAATATTTAAACACTAGCAAAGAGGGTTTGGGATATTTTTAACATGAAAAAAAGAAACTATTCCCAGGCAATGCAGTGTGCCAGTCTGATGTGACTGGCGGCTGTTGAATCGCTCAGGCGCAAACAATCTAAATCAATGCTTTAATTATTAGTTCATTTCTTTCAAGTTTTGATAATGACAAAAAGTGACAAGTAATATTGCTGAAAATAAAAGTCTTCTGTTATATTTTTGTAATATGTTTGTCAAGTGGAAATTTATTGGGAAGGAACAGCAGGAAATTAAGGTGATTACTGACAACTAATTCCAAAGTAAGCAAACAATCATTTGAATTTATCGCCATCAATCTTTCCAGGTTCTTTAGATCACCGAATCACCAGGACCAAGGGATTGTCATTATTTACTAAACTAAATCAAGTCGCTAGTTCAAAAAAAGATGATTCCAAGGTTTATAGCGAAACCACCAAAACATAAAATTTCTAATCATCGCTATTTATAGCCATGTCAAATTAATCATCGCTTTGCTTGAGTGACAGTCCATGTTGGCAGGATTCTTGTTTTCCAGAATCCCTCAAACTATAAGTACTGCCAGGTTACAATGTGACAAAATGATACCTATTATTTAGACTTCCAGTAATATATAAAGATGGAGGGTGTATCTTAGGACAAAGCACAAACCAAAACCAAATTTATAGTTCGGTGACTGATGGAATACAGTTGACTCTGGATAACTCAAACCTTGTAGGGAAATTGAAAAAGGTTTGAGTTATCGGGAGTTTGAGTTATCAGGACTTGAGAACAAATTATCTGAAATACACTATGAGGAAAAAAAAAACGGTGTTTAATGTTTTTCTATTCATACAGCATACATTTTAATCAAATTCAATGTAATGTTAAAAATTTAATGTAATGTAAAAGAAAGGAAAAAGTTCACACAGCTGCTTCAAAATAAACTTAATGTTTTGGACTACAGTACAATGTTTGTTTTGACTTGTCACATATTGACAGACATGTTTCGAGTTATTGACAGTAAAATGATACAGAAAATGACCTGAAGGGAAACGAAAATCGCTTCGAGTTAGCGGGAGGTTTGAGTTATTGAGGGTGCGAGTTAATGAGGGTAAAATAACAGCAAATGTATGACGGAAATCCAGGGGAAATCAATTTTGGTTTGATTGAGTCAGCACGAGGTTTGAGTTAGCAAGGGTTTGAGGTATCGGGAATTGACTGTACATCCATTTTCCATGGTTTCTGTGGTTGAAGATCATGTTCATGATTGGTCATAACACAGTAGACATTTCAGACATATTTTAGGGGTTCACAGTTTTCTAAGTTTGAATGTAATATGTAATGTTGCTTATTTTCATGAAATGGAAAAGGGCTGGGACATGCTAATGTGCACATGCTTTGTGGATACATGTACTTACAGGAATATTTTCATGCAGCCACTAATATCCAGCTGTTGGTCTTTTTTTTATTTTTAAAAGTTCAGATATCAGTCAGCTCGAGCATTGTTGTCATTCAAGATGTCAAAGGGCACTTGTAACAAGACTTGGTACATCTAAGTTTTGCTTATGTACATGTACTAGGATTGCTATCATAAATAATTACTTAATGTTCACTTTACTTGTATAGTATGGTTAACCACATTAGAGCTTAGTATTACTGTCCATCAAATGTCTCAGCCACAGAGATGCTATTTCTTTATTGTCTGAGTGCACTATAAACATCCAAGGAACTTAATATCATAAACGATGGACATTATTAGCTACATTGACTTGGTATCTTTTAAGGCTCATGTCAATATTATTATTCCTATCCATTAACTATTGTATGCTCATCCAAGGTTAGCAGTTTTTACCATCTGTTGAATATCTGGTCTCAACAAACAAACATGTTATGCTACACCAGTCTTTGTACTAGTAGCATGCTAGGCACCTCACTTATTTTCCTCTGCTAGTGTGCAGTATTTCCTTTCCCTCCTCTACCCTCCCTATAAATATACTTGGACTATAGGCCTGGGTGCACATCTACCACTTAGCTATCGCCTGCAACAGGCTGGGTGGGTCCCTTACCGCATCTTACTTTTAGCTACCTAAAAGTAGCTAGGTTGGGGGGCTTTGTTCTCTGGGTGAGTTTGCTATCACCCCAATTCATTCACTGGATGTGTCCGCTAACTGCCCAAAGGTCTCTGCCCTCATTCATTATCTCTGGGTGTGTCCGTCAACCGCCCAAGTTTCTGCTTTGGGGTTTGTGCAGTGTTTTCAGTAAGATTTGAAGTAGTTGTCTCCCTTTTGTTAGCACGCGCTGGAACTGATAAAGGGGGCCAAAGGTCCCTTGTCCTCTAGGGGGGTATGGGGGCATGCCCTCCCAGAAAATTTTTGAAATCAGGAAGCTCGGAAACACGATTTCCAGTGATTTGAGGCAAAATATTAACACCCAAGCATTCATTATTTTTATCAGAAAAAAGTATTTTAATTATTGCATAGTTCAAGACAGTCTCATGTATATTATACACTGTTTTCAATGGTCTATATACTACTGAGATAAAGGTATGCCTTATTAAAAGCTAATAGAATGTTACATGTCACACTGTCTGTTTGTTTGTGATTTTGTTGAATCAGACACACAAACCTTTTATCAACCCACCTCCTCCCCAACTCCTGCCTCTTTCTAGTACAGTGGTGATATTAGTGTTGTAGGCAATACATATTTAATGATAACTTGTACTGATATTTTCACTTGGTTTTTTCTGAGTTTAATAAACCGGTTATGTGTAATAATTTTCACATAACCATTTTACTCCATGGTGTGTTTTGTATTGCCTTTTTGAACAGAGCTCAGCACATATTTCATTTCAGCTAATTTTATTCCTGCAATTCTGCTTGGGGAGATTGAAGCATAAATAATATTAAATATTTTATTGAAAAACACTAATTGATCTGTTTTCGCCAGTTTGTGTAATGCAAGTAATAATAGTTTTATTGCTGCTTTGTGGTTCATTTCCTTGATAATATGATTTCAGCAGTCAGTCTAAGAGTTTGGATCTTTGTATTGAATTACTGATTAATTTCCTGGAAGCATTCCTGTACATACTGTTGCATAAGCAGCTACTTCTATAGAACTTTACTGTTTTCTTTGCTTTCTAAATATTTGGCACAGCTAGCTGTCTTTAAAAGCAAAAAGGCAGCCATATTTTTGTTACTTTGTTATACAGTAATTGTGATGACTTGCAATGCTAAAAATGATCATGAACAAACAGTCTTGCAAAGGGTGATTATAATATATTGTGCACAAAATTATGTGTTACTTTCATTCTCAAGTTCCATACCATGCTAGGCAATGAAAGTGGGGGAATTATCTGGGCTATGGAATTCTGTTATTTTAAACTTATTAAAGTTGATTCAACGATGAAAGGGAAATGTCCATTCGCTCTTGTTTTAGGGGTTCTCCAATCCCAGCATACATGACTTTGTAGCCTCTACATTGCAGGAAGGCCAGGAGGGAATGGAAAGGAGCCCATTATTGGTTACCCTGTTAGGTAGTGAATGGAGATCATCAATCGATGGAGACTTGTCAACTGTCAACAGAGAATTAGCAATACAGTTGGCTAAACATCCCAGTGTGCAAGTTAGTGTGTTTCTCCCTCAGTGCAGTGAATATGACAAGAGAATTGCTGCTAGTCACAAGGTGCAGCTCATTGAAGCAGAGAAAATGACAGGTGTTGATCCAGTTGATTGGCTGATCAATATACCACAACACCATGCGATGGACTTTATTATTGGACATGGAGTACATCTTGGTCGACAAATACAACTCATCCAACGGAATCATAAGTGTAAGTGGATTCAGATTGTTCATACCGCTCCCAGAGATGAGAAGATGCAGCAAACAGAGATAGAACTTTGTGAGTTGGCAGATCAAGTTGTAGCGGTGGGACCAAAGCTGGTAGACAGTTACAGGCGATTTCTTTGCTCTAGTGCAAAACACCAGGATATTATTGATCTCACCCCAAGTATTTTCACTGAATTTAAGGATGTGAAGCAAGCCACTGAAGAAAAAAAGTTTTCATTTTGTGTTCTAGTTATTGGGAGTGGGGATAGTGAAGATTTTAATCTGAAAGGATATGACCTTGCTGCTGAAGCAATTGCCCAGTTGGAAGACAAATCCTACCAACTAAATTTGGTCTGTGCACCAAGAGAAAAAAGAGATGAACTAGAGGAAAAGCTTCTCAAGCATGGAATTGACAGCAGTCAACTAACTATTCACAGTTTTAACGAAAGCAGAGAAACACTAGCCAGATTATTCTGCATGGTTGATCTGGCAATCATGCCATCAAGGAGTGAGGGCTTTGGATTGAAAGGCCTTGAGGCATTATCTGCTGGT